TGAACCTACTATTACAAATTTCCATCTTCAGTGCAGTTGCTTAGTTAACAGGTGTCAGTATATATAGTTAGTCAGGGTGAGAATCCTTCCAATTAACTGCTAGATTCAAAAATCTTTTGAAAAGTCTCAGGATCATTGCCTTGCTATTATCTGTCAATGCAGTTGAATGAGCTGTTCATGTCATCTTTTGAGGTTTATAGAAGTTTCAGTGATTAGAGTCTTTTATTTTTGCTTCTATATCGTTCTTTGATTGTATCTCAGGTTCTCCCTAGCTCACGTAGGAGTGTCTGGCTCTATGCGCTGCCTACAAGTTTTGGGCAGTAACTCTGCCGAGTTTTGGGGATTTCCACATGACCTGAGGCCTCCACCTGACTGTCAGTTCACCTGGGGAGAGCATCCTTCTTCTTCGCTGGATGCTCAGATCAGTGCTGGGCACAGAGTAGTCCTGACAGACGTTTGTCGCAATGCCACATGTTGAACGTTTCTTTGTGGATTTTGTGATTTTATTCTGGGAATCCGTCTGCTGCTGGACTGGTTGTGAATCCCTGGTGGGGCAAAGCGAAGGTTATGTTTATACTTGACTGTACCAAAGCCTGAGGTCACTAGCTGGGACCATGCTTAGGTTTAATTTATTATTTTAAGGGTATAATGAGAACTTGACTTTTAACATGTACAAGAATGACAGTGTCAGGAAACACCTTCAGGAAAGACTTCTTTTTCTTCTCTGCAGTGTGCAGTCAAAGCAAGAAAAGATGGGCAAAGCCATGTGAGGGGTTTGACATTAGGTTTAGGCCCCAATCCTAATAGCTCTACTTGCTGGGAGCTCAGATCTACTCTTCAACTCTCCCTTTCTACTACAGATGGAAACTCATAACTGTAGGCTAACTTTTCTTTCTGTCTCTGTCTCTCTCTCTCTCTCTCTCTCTCTCTCTCTCTCTCTCTTTCTCTGTCTCTCTCTTTCTGTCTCTCTGACTGTCCCTCTGACTGTCTCTCTGTATCTCTGACTGTCTCTCTGTCTCTGTCTCTCTCTCTCTCTCTGTCTCTCTGACTGTCCCTCTGTCTTTGTCTCTCTGTCTCTCTGACTGTCTCTCTGTCTCTGTCTCTCTGTTTCTCTGTCTCTCTCCCTCTCCCTGGCTCCTTACTATCCTTACTATCTTCAGTGTCCAACTACATGCTGAAAGCCTACTTGGGAGGATGCGTTTGCATCTGTGAGTGTACATCATGAGGAAGTTGCTGGCTTGCTCTGCTGAATGTGTCATTACACAGATAACTTTTGTTGCTGAAGTTTTTATCATCATTTTTTTTTGTTTAAAGTCTATTTTTATCGGGAATACACATAGCAGGCTTGTAAAGAATAGAGACAATCCCTGTCCAAATCCTCCCTACCCCAAATGCTTCTCTCCAAAGACAATAACTTCATCTGTTATAGCTGTTTATTCTAGCAATTCTGTCTGCATTTCTCATTGCAGGTTTCACTGCTATGGCTTCAATACAGTACAAAAACACCTGGGGTGTTGGAAACTGATACCCAAAGCTAAAAGATTTATGAGAAAACTAGGGATGAAGACAGAGCCATCAAAACTTAAGGAACTTGGGCTTGTGTGGCGTTCACAGAAACACTAACAAACCTCATATGGTGTCACACAAATAAATCTCAGTGTGTCACTTCAACCCATCATCGCAGTGCCTGGATAGTCTTTTATTTTTTGCAGTCAAATAACTTGGTGCTTATATTCTCACTTCAAAATGTTCATGATAAAAATATTATTCTCACTTACCTTTCATTCTTTGTATTGGGGATATTTGTTCTGTCACAACTTTTTTCTATTCTTAAAATTTTTATGTGCACCGATATAAAACTGTTCTCCTCATGTAATTTCACATTTTTTAAAAGAGTAAAATTGGTATTTTAAGACCAAATTCAATAGATTATTTATTAATTATAGAAAAGAAGAAAGAAAAAAGTTAAAGTTTTGAAATGTAGTGAATAATAAATATGTACAAACATGGTAAATTGTAACACAGCTATATCAATAACTACATAGATACAATGTGTCTGAACATACCAACTAGATGTAAAACAAAAAATTAATGGATGAAGGGATCTGCTTCTAATAGAGACCAGCTGGTTAAGATGAAAAATTTTTCTGCGGGCATACACTCGCTCACACATCTTTTCTTAACACATAGATACTTTGTAGCTTTGGCATCAGTTTCTGCTTAACATCCCATGTATCTTGAGTTAATAAACATTGTAATGATTCTTAAAGCCACTAACTAAAAATGTAACTATTGCTGCCTGATAAGGTCAATCAAATCCCCTCAGGATTTACCCTGGAACCACGTACAGCACCTTACAGGTCTTTTGTCCGTGTCAGCCATCTGGATGAGTCACGGCCATTGCTTGACCATTTTGCTCTCTGTGAAAGCCTGAGAGAAGTTTTGTCTCTCAGGTGTCTAGGTGACTCTCCTTAGGCACACTCTACGTCGTTGATCACTTTCTTCTGTGGCCCCATAATCTCCTTGATCAGAAAATGTGGGATACCACTGAGTTATAGGATGTCACAGCACAGGTTCTCTTGTGTCCTGAGTCCTCACTGACCTTGAAGTGCTAGGGCCAAAATATTGGCTGTCTTGGTAGCCCCTCTATTTCTCTAATTTTTGCTCTGTAAACTTTAGTTGTTAAACATCCAGAAGATAAGCTTAATGATATGATTGCCCTGTAACAGAGGCAGTTGGACTTCACATCACTATCTGTCTGTATATCAAACACCTTAGACATAACATGGAATTGCTACTTTCCAACAACCATAGATATTCTAAACTTTATAACATCATAGAATGTGAAAAAAATTATACATTTTTACCCAGAAATTTAGAAAGCAAACCATATATAATATATCATGTCTCCATCTTGTCTTCTGAATAACTATTAGGAAGACAACAATATGCAGTGTATTAATTATTGTAACTGTCATACTAACCTGTCTTGAAATTGTTTTGTTGTTATTTTATCTTTTTTCTCATTAAAAGGAAAAAATAGATAATATATCAGCCACTGTTAATTAGCTATCCCTGTTT